TAACACAGAAGACTCTCTAAAAGTTAGGACACATACAAACATAACGTATCTGTATATTGAGACTAGTAGTGGTGAGTAAATTTAATATACAGGGTATACAAAAGCCAGACGTAAATGAAATTTCCTTTAGGGTGTTTGTCTGTTGGGTGAGTGAAATGTAAGGCAGAGTGTATGTGGAGGGGGTTGGGTGCCAAGTCGAGGGACCCCTGTCCGTGAAGTCCACTCTGCTTGTCTGTACTGTAGGTCCCTAAATCTTTGGGCAATAAAAGTTGGAGTGCTAGCCTCCCTGGTTATCTGTGTGTGTGTGTTTGTGTGTGTAACCCCCCTTTGGTGCCTCTCGTACCAGGCTCGGCCTTGTCTCAGGCCACTTGGAATTTAGGCCCTGTGATATGTGCATGTGTGATCCTACACCACCATCATGAGAAAGACTTCAGTGAGCCTCCCATAGATATCACAGCTAATCATTATTTTGGTAATCTAGTCCAAGAAAAATCTGGCCTGCAGAATCAGCTGAAGGAGCTACAAAGGACTACCTCAAACAGTATCTCTGGTTAGTGTCATTGAGTTCACTATTTAGAATTTAGAATTTGGTGATCAGCGGTCATTGTTGACACACGACGGCACACAGTACACAACAATGAAATGTGTTCTCTGCATTTTACCCATATGTGACTTCATGACATAGCAGGGGGACTATCTTTCACATACTAACCAAACTGTACTCTACACTCAGCATCAGTACTTGCCCATGTCAATACTTGTCTATCAGGACTGCAGGCACAACTGGAAGACAAGAACAAGCAGCTGGTGACTAAGAATAGAGAAAACTCAAATCTGAGTGAGTGTTTTAAAGGTTGTCTGTTTGTACATGTGTTCCAATCAATTGTAAATGTTTTGGAAGCATTTTCTTTGTGCTGAAATCCATGTTGTTCAACAGTGTCACAGTGATTTGAAGGAGGAATCGCTTCAGTGAGCCTCCCATAGATATCACAGCTAATCATTATTTTGGTCATCTAGTCCAAGAAAAATCTGGCTTCCAGAATCAGCTGAAGGAGCTACAAAGGACAACCTCAAACAATATCTCCGGTGAGTGTCACTGAATTCACTATCTTACGCTAACTAACCAAACAGTACTCAACACCTGCTCTCAGTATTTACCCATCTCAGTATTTGTCTATCAGGACTGCAGGCACAACTGGAAGACAAGAACAAGCAGCTGGCGACTAAGAATAGAGAAAACTCAAATCTGAGTGAGTGTTTCAGGCTGTATACCTCCACCCATTCCTTCACTGTTTGTTTTAAGCTTCTATTATGATTACATAAAAATGAATTGCTGTCTAAAAATGAATAGCTGGTTTTGGTGGGCAGCATCTCTTTCTATGTGTCAGGTCATATTGCAGTATAACACCCTATAAACACCCTATATTTGATCATTTTTGGGTAAACTCTGGTTAACCAGTACAGTCAGTGTAAATACCCTGTCAGAACTATTTAAAGAAGGAGGAAGATGAAGGGGGATTGAAAGTGATGACCTGGCCTGTATAATTACCTGACCTTAACCGCATTTTGTTGATTTGAAGTGGAATGGAAAGAAAGGTTAATGCAGGGAGTTACAGTTTGTGATGCTCACTGCTGATGGCTGCCTTGCTCTGCACTTATGCATCCCTTCCACCCTTCCCCCCCCCCTTCCATAGTGTTCTAGCCACTTCCCTGTCAGTAAATTAGCTCATATTTGGTGGACCATCTGGTTGTCCATCCTGATGGCTGGTAGTCAGCACAGACCTCGCTCTGCTCTTTGTAGTTCGGAGAGCAATGTGCGCTGCTTTGATGGCGATGTACGTGAGGATGCCCTTGCCTGGCTCCTTTCCAGGAGAAGATTAAAAACTTTTTTATCGGAGCAGGTAAACTCACTAGATGTCTTACTCCTGCATTACCATTTGCAGCTGCA